ATTGTACATATCCAGATATCCTGCATTTGAGTGACAAAAATTCTTTTGCCACATGTAATTTGATTAAGTCCTGTATCTAATGTTATCGACATTGAAGGTCTAGCTACTAGTGTTTTAAAGCAAGACTGAAACTTTATTATCAATATTTCTTACAACTTCAGGCGACATGGAAAGTCCAAACTCTTATGGTGTAAGAGTAGATTTGTTTTTACAGTACAAGGACAACATGGGCACAATGCAGCTTATTCTTCATTTTGGTTTGACTTGATAATTTTTTTGCACATTGAAGACACGACAGAGAAGCCACAGAAATCTATGTCTCCATCTTCTCAGGAGGAGGCACCTCTAGTCGGCGTGGCCCGTACAGAAGTACGTATGCACAGTGCCAGTCTCCGCCACCTGACAGCTTCAGTACGTCCTCTTCAGTTACAGCATACACCTTGTCATCATCACATTTGATCCAGTCAGCTGCAATACGGCACCATTCAGAATGGAGATTAGTCAAATACACCAATCACTACTATTACTATTAATTAATTAAAAAAGCACATTGTTACAATTACTTGTAAGGCTGGGTGTTGCTTACTGAAATCCAAAATTTTATTGTATTAAACCTATCTTGACTAATCTTTGACATTCTTGCTTCTGAAAACCATCTCTTTCCTACTTCCCTGAAAATTCATAGGTAGTTTTTTTCTCCTCAAAATTTTAGAAGTATGTTGTACAATATAATTTTCAGAAATCTATACTACATGCCCTTCTAAATTATGTCATCATCATCTTCTCAATAGTACTAAAATTGTTCATCACTGACCGTCTCTCCTGACCCAGGCCACGTAGTGTCCAGAGGAGCTGGACCGGCCTTGGTGAGTCAGAACTGCCTGGAGCTCGTAGTAACCACTGTTGTTGGAGCCTATGTCTGTGGAGAAAGTCCCAGATGTCAGAGAAATACATGTTGTGACATGTTTTGTTTGTGTCTCAGAGATGTTCTTTGGCATACTACTCACCAATGCATCACAGTGCACATGCACACTTTAAGCCGTGAAGCAAAATTGTACTTTTCTGTCCCATTCATCCTGATGTACCAGGTAAGATTTCCAGACACAAGTACTTACCATCAGGGAAGTCGTAAGCCTCGTACTGAATATCTTTCTTGTCTTGTGTCTCAACTCTCTTCCCCGCTTCCTTAGCCTAAAAAGGAAAACAATTTGTTAGTCTTTGGTGACAGAACAAAGCTATTCCAAACTACCAAACATACAAGACTATACATGTAGGCATCCTTTCATGTTGTGAGATAAGGGACTGTACGATATTTACCGGGGGGGGAGGGCTGGTGCAAAATGGTCCGGTAAAAAATTTTTTCCATGGCCCTCCCCCCGGCTCAAAAAAAAATTCCATGGCCCTCCCCCCGGCTCAAAATTTTTTCAATGGCCCTCCCCCCACCCGAAAAAAAATTTCGGTGGCCCTCCCCCCCATTTTTCCAGTCCATGTCTCTTTCTCCCTCCGTAAATTCCCGAATGAAGTACGCATCCCGATTAAAGTACGCACCCCCGATTTGGGGCTGGTGGGAGACAAATATTCCCGTCTGAAACGTAAAATGGAAAAACTCGAATTAAGTACGCACCCCTTCTACGCACGGCCGGTACCACAGTGAACATGTAGTATGTATGTCTTAAAGACAGTTCGTCGTTCCAAACAAATTTAAAATTGTTAAAAACTAGATTTATGCCGTATACTACGTGATGGTATGGTAACGTAGCGGGAAACGTTTCAAGTTCGGCTTGTTTTTCACCGCCGGCCGCAGCCGACTTGCAAGACGTCACCACCGCATCGAAAGGTAAGGCAAGTGCGGCGAAACGCACAGATTTGGATCCAGCTTTGGAGTGTTGGTGATCAAGCAAGCAATGGTCAATAAAGATTCGTGAAAAAAAGACAATATTTCAATGTTGATTTTATCGGTAACGGGGGGTAGTTGAATGTTGATGCACAATAATAGCGCCCGCGCGATCGACCCATGGAGAGCAACAATCATACAGGCGGAGAACTGGGCGGAGTATTTGGGTGTAGAGGTGCTACCGAATTTAAAATTTGACACCGAAACCAATTAACACAACAACAAAAGACTACTGGGATCAATGGGACTTGCGATTCCGAACAGGAGAAAGTGACAAGTTTGACTGCGTTTCAGGTAATCTCTCGTTATGTAATAGATGTTTTTGTCACAAAATCAAAGGAATAAACACATGTATTAATTTGTACTCCGTAAAACTTATAAGTACAGTCTGTTCAGAGGAAACAAAGACTTCCTTCTCGGGGTCCATGTTCTGGTAAGCTGTCCTCAGCGCTGCGCATGCCACGGCCCTCTCTGTGTTCTTCAGCTGTAGTTGTACTTTGCCTGTCGGCGCGACAAACACCCCACCCACCGGCCGGGCGGTAAGATTTCATCAAAGACTACATTTTAAGTTAACTCCGCCCCTATCATTGTAGCTTGCCGAACAGTCGGGTAGGAGTACATCTAGCTGGAATTTTTACGTCGTACTGGCTGGTGTAGCCCGCTACAAAGTAATTTCCTGTGGCATTTATTAAGATTTAAAAATATTTGTGATACGAAGTGAAACATGGTTAACAATTTCTGAACCTTTGAAACGACATGGGCATAATCTTTGTTGAAGATTCCTGAGCTGAACTCAAGCCGGAAGTGTATTGGAAATGATGACCATCAGTCAAGGCACAACTGTTATCACATGTTACGTTACGACGATCAAGAACGTTCACGGCTTGCGGACCATTTCAAATATTACCACTCAAAAACCCTACTTACGGGAGGCTATATTTTTGCCGGGGTTCCACTGAGATCGGCGCCGGCTAGCTGGGGAACGATCCTGTCGGCATGACAAAGCGCCGGGCGTCATTGCCAGAGACATACATTTTCTTACCGTGGGTGACTTGACTTCTTCTTTTACCGCAACTTGGTGTCAATATCGACGATAGTCACAGGAAATATGTTCATTTATAGAAGTTTAACTTTATTTCCACTCGTCAATATAAGTATCTAAACATGCTACAGACGATCGATGTTCCAAGCTCCCCGTGTCGGTGTTCCGCTATATTCCTGGGTCGTCCACGGATTTGTCGGCGGAAAACTCAAATTAAGTACGCACCGCGACTTTGGCGACGGCCCGAGATACTTCTGGGATTTTGAAAAATGTAAAACGTGCGTACTGTATTCCGGAAATTTACGGCGTATTTCTTGTAATTCTGTACTACGCGACGCCATATTTTACAAAAGTTTTCGGTGGCCCTCCCCCCCAGGCCGATTTTTTTTTCGATGGCCCTCCCCCCGGCTCAAATTTTTTTTCCATGGCCCTCCCCCCAGGCCAAAAATTTTTCAATGGCCCTCCCCTCCAGTGCACCAGCCCTCCCCCCCCGGTAAATATCGTACAGTCCCTAAGCTGTATAGATGGCACTCGACTACACTGAGTATTGCACCTGAGCAAACGATCAATCAGTAGACAAGCTGTGTCAGACATGCTCCTACCTTCTGAGCCTCCTCTACCTTCCTGTCTTCCTCCTCTTTGAACTTTGACCTGATGGGCTCTAACTTGGTCTGCAGCTCAGATGTGCACATGTCGAACAGGTCCAGACTCATGGGGAACTTCACGTCCTGGGAACATACCGGTAGAAATATTCTTATTTCACTGTACAAGTCATTTCCCCAGCCATAGGGCTAAAAGGTTTAGCCACCATGGTGGTGCCCTGCAACATTAGGGAGCGGGCGACAACTACGGAGGATGGCACCCAGGCAATAAAAGGTTTTGATCCATTTACAAGGGAGGACCCCTACTCAGTGTCATTGGTTCTTTAAAGTACTTAAGGCGTGGCTCTACTCCATGTAATGTACTATCTCAGGGACGTCCTTAGTCAAAGCTGGTACCCATTTTCACCCGAGTGAAATGAGGAAAGTCGTGGAAATACAAAAACAAACCAGAATTTTAGGGAGCGTCATACTTGAAACAATGAGGAAACAGCCTCACCTTTAGGATCTTAGCATTCACATTTTCCTTCTCCTTGTAGAAGAACCTCACCATCTGAATTGTAAGGTAGGCGGGCAGCCGGCGCACTTTGGACTGAAAATTCATTCAACAATAAGCCTTGAACTCTCTCAAAGAAAATGCAGTACAAAGTAGGATTTGGATGGTGCTCATTATCTTAACTATAAGTTCATCTTGAACAAGACAGCTGAGTGAAAAACTTACCGTTTTCTTGTATTGAGCATCCCTGCTGAGGGATGGGGAGTGCTTTGTGATGATTTCTTCAAGTCGCTGTGAAGTAGAGAAGATGTGTATTCTTCAATGAAATGTTTTTCAGTAAATTAAATATAATGGCACATACAGTACAAAAGAATGTATGATAAAAATACACTCTAAAGTGATGGTCCAAGGTGCCCTCTCATACCAGATTAACTTTGAGAAATCCAAAACATTGATAAATGCGAATAATAAATCAATAAGTATGTGTAACTTACAGATTGAAGTCCTAGTTGCATGTATTTCACATCTGCAAAAAGAGATAGAGAGGATAAAATCAAATCAACACACATTGGTAGCACTGTTTGAAAAAAAACTCTTAATTACAGCTGTGAGGGTAGTTAAACAATACAGTTTAACAACTTGTATATCAGAATGAAACATGCACATTACAATGCACCTGATAGGGAGAGTGTGACAACCCTTGCACAAGTCTCTAAATGTTTATTCAGTGATGGAATGAAATGGGTACCTTGTGAGATGAAACAGCTTAGTTGAAAGAAAGTTTCAGAAGACGTCTTTTCCTCTTCTTCCTCAGATTCCACACACTTCATTCTGGTGATGTTGGAGTTAAGGAATTACCAAGTTTTATCATCAAGAACCTGCTCTTTTATGTCTGAAGTACATAGATTTTTAGTAAAACTACACCTCAAATTGTCATCATCAATTTTTCGTAATACATTGTACAAGTAACAAGTATGTACATCAAAATCTGCCCAGATAATGTGAGAGCATCATGGATTGATAGAGGCCCATTGTCTGAGGCACAAGACCTTTTGCTTCTATGCCAGAGATTTTGTAGATGTAGATCAAACAATTTAGAAACTTTCAGAGACAGGCTGACTGGTGAGTTGTTAAGGATACGTAGAGACAAGTTCTCCTGAGAAGAACTGGTCCATAAACCTCTTCATCTTCCCCTGCTCTGGCACTGGAATCAGCTGGAGAACATAGGGGGAAAATTACTATT